CTGCTCTGAACATCATGTGCAGAGGACATGTGAGGTCATCAAGCTTCATTGTAAACTGTCGTTTACATTTCTTCACTCGTAGTGAAAATCAGATATTGAAGTCAAAATAAAAACAAAAATGTTTGGGAAAGCATCTCATTTGCAATGAATATATAAGATACTGATTCACTTCATTCCTTCATCAATCAATATTCCCCATCTCTATTTCAAATGCTAAAGTTCATTCAAATAAAGAGGTACATGTTGGTACTAGGTTAGCAAATAGAGGTTGGCCTAGGGTTTATCCCACTGTCAGGCAAGAGATCTTTGAAATGATTCGCTACGGAAAAATTCCAAGGCGTAATATCCATATCCATATGTTAGCCTTCTCTAGTTTTATCTAACAATTGAACATAATATTACTTGAATATTAATGCAGTTATGTCCAGCGCAATAAATCCAGTAGCGAAGCCATCTTCGACGCAGGCAAAATAAAACGGTCACAGAAAATGGCTTTGTGATGGAAACGGAACAAAAGAAGAGCAGGGGAAATACAAGGACTATGACGAAATAGAGGAGTGTGTACCACCTGACCCATGCCAGCACTCTTACTGACAGCAGAGCCACCCTGGCGGCCGTTCCTGTACCTAGAGTCAGATGGACGGGGAGCTGCGTGACCAGGTATTCTAAGGACCATGCCCTGGGGTGAGGATTAGCCCAAGATTAGCCATCCCTCCGGCAGGGGTGAGCACGACTCCAGACTTTCAGTTGAAAGGACTAATGCATACCCCGACGGGGCTCAAATGAACCACCTGATACTAAGAAGAGCCTACACACCCATTTTTCAACCATCGCACACCCTTCACTCGCCTTTATTTGCTGTGTGTACCAGCATTGGCAGCGAACGTTAACACAGCGTTGTAATGTCCCTTTTAGACGCGCTCAAAGCAATGTTGAACCAGAGAGCTTTGGGTGAACGTTATTACCACGTTCGTACGAAGTTGCTCGACCGAATTAAGTATTCTACCACGTACTGAAACCATCTCCTCTCGAGGAGTTTGACACGCCGCACACACTGTGCCTTCATGGAGTGATTATATTACGCACTCTCCAAGAAACCTCCTAGCTTTCAACCGTGTAAGTTAAAGGATCCATCCTCCATCCCCCGAGTCAGAGTTTCCTGGAGATTCCTTGTACTGGGTTACCTCTTTTCATGAATTTCTTGTAGATTTCAAATGTCTTTCCCTTTGGTAGTCTGCATGGAAAGATCGTGCACCGAATGGAAAATACTGTGAAGAATTTGCAGCCGTATCAAGTATCGACTAGCCATAGCGGCTACTTTTGCGTCACCTCTCTTCGGTTGTGCGAACTTTTGTTTCTTCGAGCAACTGCCAGGTTGCAGGCCCACAGTCCCGATCGAGTGTGGCACGCATAGCATTGCTTAAACGCTCTCGTGCCAACTTTGCTAGGAGCACTTCCACGAAGGACTTTTTAATGCTATGCCAACGTTAGTTCTATGCTAAGGAAGAACAAACACTAAAATAACACATTTCCAACATTGCATCAACGTACCTGTGTTTGAAGGGAATGTTGCCATCACGTTTGCGTAAACAGTTGATTCAATGTTATTACTATCTTTAAATGAAGCAGAGTTCAACATTGGAAATACGCTCATGTGTCACGATGTTACAGCGTTGAATCGTGACGTATTGGCATTATCTTCTCCTTTTCCTAATATTGAAGATGTGTTTATGCTAGCATAATAACGTTCTCGTATCGTTGGAACTTTCTGTTCTGGGAGCTTGAAAGTACTCCAGCAGGTACTACCATCTTACCATCAACCGTTGTGCCGCGACAAAGGTTGATTTTAAAAAATTTTCCGAGAAGCACTGCTCTAGTGGATCAGATTCCCAGATGTGACTCTGAATGGTACGCCTTGTACCGTCCAGCAAAGGATTTACGTCGCTGTCGCCGCATTGGATCGATGTCGATGTAACAGGGAGGTATAAACCGTCGACATTGATACATACCATCCACGTCTCTTCCATGTTTCCTGCTACCTGAGCTATTGCTGCTACTGGCAAACGAAGTCCCTGGTAATCGAGTCGCCGACTTTGACAAGGATTTGGAGTCCACCTGGGCTCTCAGATCCGTCTTTCGGGAGACCTCGGATAAAAAAAACCTCGTCGCCTCAGAGTGATTCGGGCCTAATTAGAGGACGTTTACGAAAGGCACCGAAAGGAAAAGCTTTGTGATACCTTTCTGACCGCGACGGTCGACGACGTCGCCACGCTCCATCGCCTCATCTCGTTCGACGAAGCGAATTTAAAATCTTTAAAAATTCACACGTTTCTAATTTATGGCATGGAAATCGCCGAAGACGACACGAACGTCTCGCTCGTATCTGATCGATGTCCGCAACCATGAGGCTTGGAACTTCGCTTCGAGCGCTGGTTCGTCTCCACGAACTGCTTGGTTCCATCCTACCCGACTTCACTGCCGAACGAGCTGCTTAGCCTAATCGACAGGGCGTCCCAAAAATTTGGACTCAGGGATCATCGTAGTCGAAAAAACACGCTGTCCGCGTCTACCGGGAATCAAATACCAGAGAATGGCCTCAGGAAAGACCAGCAAGAGCGCATTCTGCGTATCGCATCCGCGACGACGAGAAATGCGCAGAGCATATTTTATGAATGCAGTTATGATTCGTACGAGTCCGAACTCGAGGGATGCCTTAGATTTTGGATGCTGGGCTCCTTCGGGCTCAAATCTGTGTTCGATCGGTCCCAGAGGTGCGCAAAGGCTGAGGCCTACGCGTGAGCCTTCGTGACCCCTATATCGGCATGCGAGCCGAATGCCCTTCGAATATACTCCGTACCATATAGCGTTAAAGAAAGTTCGTAGACTTTTTCGAACGGACACTTAAGTACTCATTGAAACGACTTCGATCCGGATGGACTCGTTTCGAACGTACGTCTTACTTCCTCTCGGGCGAGACACACTTTTCCCATCCCTCGTATTATTTTAGGAACCGTTCTTCGAGCAACCGATTTCGTGTACGAGGCATAGGCGCCGACTTTTAAAAAATATTGCGGGGGCAAGTTCCTATTGCCCCTGAAATAACAATGACGCAGTTATTCCAGGATCCATTGGGGTAGTTCAGTATGATTATGGTAGCATAGTGACGAGGGGGGGGGGGTGCTGGGCATGGCCCTTCTACCCCATACCCGTACGGGGTGACTAAGGGATCTCCCCCAGTTGGAGCTCAAAACAGAAAGGAAAATCGTACTTTTCATTTCTTTCGTGAAGCAGCATTTTGTTTTCA